GCGCCTCCTGGCTTTGTAAGGCCTACTGGACCGACATCTTCACGGAGAACTTGAGAGGCTAGAACAAGGGGAAGTTGGTACTTAGGAGGTAGGACACAACACTTAACTTAATAAACTTAGTAACTTCCCACGGGCATGAACAGAGTTTACTTTGTATTTAGCTTGCTGTTAACTTGTAGTGACGATCAAAATATCAAATCATTGGCGCAAACCGATCCTCAACCAACAGTTTGGTTTATGGTTTTACAAATTATTTGTTGAAAAAGTGTCTATTTCACATAATTTCTCTAAATTCAACACACATTCCCAAAAAAAGACGGATAAAATATTAAAATTCAGGGCATAAATAAACATTTGTAAAAAGTCGTAACTGTTACATTCGTTTAAAATCTGTTCTATACACAGTTGTGTCTTGTCTCTTGGGAGATGTGGGTAAGTGGAGTGATTAACACCTTAATCAGCTTTAAGTAATTACACCATGCATGCATTAATTAACATAATTAGTCGTCAGAGATTAGAGAAACTGGAGAGGAACTGAAGTTGCCTGAGGAGAGGATTAAGAGTCTCCATGAGCTTCTCACAAGGATGGTTATGAATGCCTTCGTAGGTCGTTACGACGACGTTTGGATCTTTTGCCAATCTCTGCACTTGTTTCTTCACGTTGCATGTGTGGTACGTACATCTGTAATAGCTCCTGCATTTTGTGAAACAAGATTAATAGTTTGATCTATTCTTTCTTTTTTTTTCAAAAATTTTATTCATATGAAAAATAAGTCGAAGTTTTGGGTGTCTATCTAAGACTGATTTTCATTTTCATGAATGACTCTTACGAAGTGTAATGAAACTATTTTGTTTTTGTTTTGTTTTTTTTTTTTTTTGCTAAAAGAGTAAATATCATATAAAATGGAGAGGATTCGGATTTACATGTTGGTGATCTAGACTTTTGGTTCCTTCATAAAAAGGAATAAAAACAAGGAAGCAAATCACTTTTCCATCTCGATGAATCCTTCATATGAGCCATAAGCCCATAAGAAACTATATATTTATACTGATATATAGTTTTTCTGGAACTAATTAAGATCATTTTCTTGACAAGAATATTGATGGATTCACATAGATTAAATCATCCATTTCCAAACAATTCATACTCAGATTTGGTAGCACATAAAGATAATCCCTATATCGGGTTTATACATTTTTGTAAAATTATAAAATTGCATATTAACTATATCTAGGATAATCAAATTATAGGAAAAAAGATAATATAGGATTATCATTTTTTAAAACCATAGCTCATGCTTTGTTTTCGAAAATTATCACATCATAAATTTTCCAAAAATACGACAGATCTTAGGCTTAATTAGTAAGAGAGGTTGATTTCGTTGTAACTATTCCTATATAAACCAAAAAATTATGGCAATTTTGCAACTAAAAGATACATTTTCTATATGACTATATATATTCTTTAGTGTTAAACACAAGACTAGACTAGATCGTGCTGGTTGTTAAGCTAACTAATGTTTTGTAGCCATGAAAGTTTTTGGTCGATACATATTTGGGAATCAATTCTAATATGATGTCATAGATTCACGTATAAATACACTAATTAATACAACTATACAAGCATATGGTTGGTAAAAGTACCTGGGATGAGCATTGTGCTTGACAGATTTCTGGCCATATTTTCGCCAACGATAACCATCATCAAGAACATCATCATCACTCCTCGTTTGAAACGCAATCCTCGGAACTTTCCTCGATCTCTTCTCTTTCTCTTTCTTCTTCCCTTTCTCTCCTATTTGATCATTCTCCGGCGCTGGTGGCGGCGCATGCACATGAAAGCTTTCTGGATACCAAGAAGAAGAAGAGGAAGGCTCTAATTCGCCGGAAAATGTTAATGGAGGCATCATCATTAGGGTTTTGTCTAAAAAGGCAGAGAAGGTGTTGTTGTTTTCAACATCTAGGCTTAACATAGGATTTATGTCTTCTCTGTCCATTGTTATAAGTCTCTTTGTCTCTCTATCTCTCCCTATATTTATAGATGTGTAATGATAGATTGTGAAGAATAAGAGAAGAAGAAGAAGAAGTAAGGGTAAAAGGGCATTGAGGCCAACTAAGTTCACCTAATTTTCTGTTCAACTGCTTTTTACTTCCATTTAGTTTCCTTGTGTTATTAAACTTTTATTATTATCTCCCTCATTTTTCCTATCTCTTTTTCTTCTTCTTCTTCTTTTTTTATATGAGAGATTGTATTGGCTTAGTATAACATATATATGTCGTCATGAGGTAAATTTTCAATAACAATACTACTCGATATACGTACCTATAATATCTTTAAGTATAATAGTATTAATTAGTGTTTTTAGTCCTAACTCATATGGATATATATATATATATATATGTTAATTAAAGTTTAAAAGACCATCAAATTGTACTTGTATCAACTATATATATTAATTTTAAGTGACTTTTGTATTTGTTATTTTCTTTCGTATACATGATTAAATTATACTGTAAGATCATATATACTCTCACTAGATACTAGTAAACCATTGAATCTTATCAATTCAATTGAACTTCTAGTACTTAAAGGTGTAGTAGACATTGCATACATATACCATTAATGGAATGTTCAGGTCGAATTTAGAGTCAAATCAATGTATAAGTAGGATTAAAAGATGAAGATAATAGTTACATTGGCTCGTTCGTTTCGGATTAAACCAAACAAGAATCTGATATCCATTTGATGCTACTGATCTCATCTCAAAAATTATCTATAAAACAACGCATCTTAACATGTAAATGTAAATGTAAACTAGATCATGACCCGCACATACGTGCGGGGTTTCATATTTTTTAAAAAGTTCTAACAAATTTTAATTCAATATAGATTATTTTGTTGTTTCTATGATATATATTTTAGTGTATTAGATCTGGATTCACACATACGTGCAGAGATATTTTTATAGAAATTGTTATATAGATTTTAAAAATATAAAATATTTTGTTGTGTTAGTGAACTTTATAATAGTATAAATATTATAAAATTAGAGTAATGAACGAAATTCAGTTGCATTAGTGCATAGTTATATTTTAAGATCCGGACCTACACGTACGTGCGAAATTATATTTAAGATAAAACTAAGATATAATTTAGTTGCAAAAGTTAAATGATGTTACTTTTTTATTTTTTAAACTAATCAAAACATTTATAATAGTTTGATTACATGTGTTAAATAGGATATAGATTCGGTTTGAGTTTGGTTATTTCATGTATATTAGCTAGGCGTAACTATTTTAAAACGGGAAACCTATCCCGTCCTGTATCTGTCATAAATTCTTGGTCCTATAACCAGTCTCGTATACATGAAATAAAAATATGATGGTCCAGTATCCGACATAAATAGAATATGTGTAACCGAAAACGTACGTACAGGGTTATGTATGTAAACAAATTTATTTTATATAGTGCTCATAACCTGAACTCATACCAATTGGGTATTTAGTTTGATTTTTAATTTATGTTTTCCTCTCATTCCGTCTCGTAATTCCTATTCTCATGTCATTCCATTAAAATCATGTTCCAAATTCTTGTTTGCTTACTTTTAAATACCATACAATACATATTGTGAGTTTTGTAGATTAATATATATGCTGCTAAAGTTACAAATATATTTTAACAAATTTATTAATGTTTCTTTCCTTAGCTAAATTTTGCATATTCTTCTTTTTATTGTTTAATCATAATTAATTTGATTTTTGGAGTAAAAATAAAAATTTGAGATACATCTCTAAAAGGTATATGCTATTGCTGCATAATTTGTTTTGAATTCAAAATATATAATTAGTTTACATTATTTGAAAACTGTGTGCAATATATTAGGGATTTATTTAAGGATGATCCGGTTGAAAAACAAAAAATAAAACGCAAAATAATTTAGAAATTAATATATACAATCTACTGTTAGATATTTATCAAACTTGCTCTAAACGAAGGCTATAATGATAATTACTTTAAATTTATTATTATTTGAGTTTATTTCATCATAAATATAAATAGTTGTTAATATCTAATATCGTATTTTAGAAATTGTGTAATCAAATTTTGTTTTATATTTTAAAATTTGTGAAAATATTATAACAAAACTGAATCTTAAAATATTTGTATTTAATTTTCTTACAAAATTTTAAATTTAATTTTAAAGTCCTCCATTGATAAATCTTTTAAACGATAGTGTTTTTAATTTTGAATTAAAATGATATTATTTTTCTTTTATTTTTGATATAGAATAAAAGTGGTTTAGATAAAATCTTTTAAACGATAGTGGTTTAGATAAAATCTTAGTTGGATATCAAATCTTAGTTTTTCAATTTTTATTGGTTAACAATTTTTTAAAAATTAATTCCAAATTTTCGTTTATAATTAATAAGAGAGAGAAAATTAGTTTATTTTTTTGGAAATTAATAATTATTTAAAAGAATTAAATTTTTTTATTTAAATATATTAATTTTATGATTACTATTGTACCCTTAATGAAGTTATTTAAAAACACTAAAAACTAATGGCATTTTTTGTAATATTTTACTTTTCATAAGGTTATTTAATATTTAGTGATTCCCAATTAATAATATAGATGTAAATGTAAATGTAAATGTAAATGTAAATGTAAATGATCACTAATCACTATGGTTAGGTCGATAGTAATCCATGACAACGAATTTTAAAATTAACTTTATCTAATATTTTGGTTAATCTTTAAATTAATACATAAAACTAAATCATCTAAATGATACCCGATATAATAAACTATAGCCTTTTAATTAGTTTTTTACGTATCTCATACAATTAATGTGGCGTGGCTCTAAATACGAAAAAACGACTAATTCAACTTAATCATGTTATTATGGTTGTAGTGGTTAAGAATCTTATTTGACTCCCAAAATAAATTAAGCCTCTTTTACTCTATAAACACGTGGAAGTTTCCCTTGACCTATAATGAATGCTACATATGTAAATTAACATAAACCTCACTGTAAGACTTATATGCGAAGAGGAATGCATGTGTTTTTTTTTCCTTCCTCATCTTTTTATTAGGATTTTTTTTTATTAAATTGAAAGGTAAATGTTTTCAGTTTTGGTGGCATCAAAGGAAGATGGAAGGTTATTAATTGGGAAATTTGGTCGAGCTTAAGCATTTCTAGGAATCTCAGAAAAACTTTTTGATTGGCTATATAAAGTTTTACAAAATCATCTTCTTGTTTTGTCTACACTCAAAACAAATTCAAAAATCACTTTTTAATAAATCATTGATCTTAAAACCATTCTAACTCAAATACGTTTAACTATAAAATTTATTGATTCCATAAGTAAAATTTGTTGTTATAACTAGCCACTTAATTTTCTAAACCTATTCTTATGCAACACTTTTTTTTTTTTTGAAATTAGGGCGTTAAAGAGATTTCTCGATTTTTTTTTTCAATATTTGGGTTGAGAAACATCAAGTTCTAGAGTTAGGCCCAATGGCCCATAAACCCTTTTTGTTTCTCTTTTTATTTCTCTAGAGAAGAAAGATCACGCACGATTCCAATGGCGTCGATTCTGGGTGATTTGCCTTCCTTCGATCCTCACAATTTCAGTCAACATCGTCCCTCCGATCCTTCTAATCCCTCTGTTAGTTCTTCCCCAATTCTCATCTTCGATTTTTCTTTCTTCCAATTCTTCAACTCTTTGATGAAAATATCAGATGTTTTATGATTCTGTTTTTTCTGAATTCGTCTGTTTACTTTGGTCGTATTGAAAAAAATGTGTCCTTTGTTGATCCAATTTTGATAATTCAAATTGTTCAAAGAGAAAGTATTTCGAATGTGTATCTAGGTTTGCTTGTTTACTTGATCTGATCGAAAAGTTCCATGTTTTCATCGATTTTGCTGTTGGATCTTGTGAGAAACCTAGAAAAAAGTAGCCATTTTTGACAGATTTATTGATCTTAGAATCATAATTCTGCTCCCATTGGTTCCCATTGGCCTTAATTTAGCTGCTAAGGGATTAAGGACTATGCAAGTTTTCATTTTTCTTGCAAATTCCAATTAGCTTGTCTTAGTTAAAGATTAGATTTTTGATCTGTTATCGAAGATTTGAGTTTTGTTCATGTTTTCTTGCAGAGGATGGTTCCTACCACCTATCGTCCTACTCACAACCGTACACTTCCACCACCAGATCAAGGTGAAAGAAAAAGCCGCGGTTTTTTTGGAATATTGTGTGTTCTTCGGCTACTGATTTTCGAATTTTGTTACATTTTATAGTCTAAATTTGGCCTTTTGAAGTTATGATATTGGCTAGAGACTGATCTTGAACTTGCTTTGATTGAGGAATCTAGTTACTGTCTTTACCATGGATCACTTCTTAGAATCTCTAGGCAAATTGTTGTTAATCGGATTCAACAGTCTCGAGTTTTCACGGGTCACGTCTATGTTTTTACTAATTTGTATTTTTGTTTGTTTTGGTTGTAGTGATAACTACTGAAGTCAAAAACATACTTATACGCAGCTTCTATCAACGAGCTGAAGAAAAGGTAAAACAACTCTCAACTCTCATTTCTCATAGTTTGTGATTCTTTGATTCAAATCACCGTTGTTTCTCTCGTGTATATATAGTTCGTAACACAGGATTTCTTAGGAAAATAGACAAAAGAAAGCGATATAGAACAAATCTTGAACTTCTTCTGAAAACAAAACTGTTGATTTTGGTTGTGTTATACCAAATCTGTATTTTCATTGTCAATTTTTTCATTTGCAGTTAAGACCAAAGAGACCGGCTACAGATCATCTGGCAGCCGAGCACGTGAACAAGCATTTCCGCGCCGCGTCTTCTTCATCATCTACTCAGGGCTTATAAAAAACTTACCCTGGTGAGCCTATGAAAATGGTCATTTGTATGAGTTCTTATTAGCATTTTCAATGTAGAGAAGAAAAGAAAGATAAGAGCAGTTCACGAGAGGAATGTAGACAAAATGTTATGTACATAAAGTTACGGGCCCAACATCAGTCTTTAACAGGTCAATTCGACATTATTGTTCAATTTAAGACAAATTAAAGACCCGGTTTACTTTTCAAACCAAATTTACAAAAAGTGGTATGTGGTTGAGAACAGAACCCCCTAATTAGAAACTTCCTGATTCGTCGTCTTCTTCCAACTTGACTCTGCTACTTCAATTCTGACCTCATTTCACCGGAAAATGACAATCTGTACGAAAACAACCCATTGGTCCTTTGAATTTTCTCTTCTATTTGGTATATTTCAGTACAAATTACATTCCAATATCTTGAAATTTCTCTTGCTTCAATACATTCAAGTTCAAGCATTGTGATCTCTTATGGCTTCTTCTTCTTCTTCTTCTTCGTCTTCGTCTCACATAAGGAGATACCATGTCTTTCCGAGCTTCCACGGTGAAGATGTCCGTAGAGGGTTTCTCAGTCATTTGCACTATCATTTTGCAAGCAAAGGTATCATGACGTTCAATGATCAGAAGATCGAGAGAGGCCATACGATCGGACCTGAGCTCGTACGAGCGATTAGAGAATCTAGAGTCTCGATTGTGGTGCTCTCGAAGAGGTACGCTTCTTCCAGCTGGTGTTTAGATGAACTGCTTGAAATCTTGAAGTGCAAAGAAGATCATGGGCAGATTGTGTTGACCATTTTTTACGAAGTTGATCCGTCCGATGTACGGAAACAGAGGGGAGACTTCGGGAGCGCTTTTGAGATAACTTGTCAAGGGAAACCGGAGGAGGTGAAGCTGAGATGGAGCAATGCTTTGGCACATGTTGCAACCATTGCTGGGGAACATTCTCTTCATTGGTATGTCTCAATGAATTTATGGTTTTATCTACCTCAAGCAATAATTCAATTTTTTTTTTTGTAATTTAGACCAACCAAAGCGATTTTGTTTTGCTTTCGCTAGGCCTAATGAAACAGAGATGATCCAAAAGATTGCTACAGATGTTTCAAACAAACTTAATCTTACACCGTTGGGGGATTTTGACGGGATGGTGGGACTTGAAGCTCGGTTATGATGATGCAAAGCCAAAGATGATTGGAATTTGGGGTCTTGCAGGGATTGGTAAGACTACCATTGCTAGAGCTTTATTCAACAGACTCTCTAGTAGTTTTCAGCTTAATTGTTTTATGGACAACCTCAAGGGAAGTTTTAAGAGCATAATGGGTGTTGATGACTATTATTCCAAATTGTCTCTGCAAACCCAACTTCTGTGTAAGATTTTGAACCAGGAGGATATGAAGACATATGATTTAGGTGCAATAAAAGAATGGATACAAGATCAAAGAGTGCTTATCATTCTTGATGATGTAGATGATCTAGAGCAATTAGAGGCCTTGGCTAATTAAAGAACTTTCTTGGTTTGGTTCTGGAAGTCGGATCATCGTTACCACAGAAGATAAGAAGATTTTGAAGGCACATGGGATTCAGGATATCTACCATGTGGATTTTCCATCCGAGAAAGAAGCTCTTGAGATCTTAAGTCGATCTGCATTCAAACAAAGCTCTGTACCATATGGTTTTGAAGAGCTCGCCAATAAAGTAGCTGCGTTTTGCGGTAAACTTCCATTAGCCCTTTGTGTTGTGGGTTCATCTCTGCGTGGTGAGACCAAATACGAGTGGGAACTTCAATTATCTAGGATCAAAGCTAGTCTTGATGGAAAAATCGAGACCATTTTAAAAGTGGGATATGACAGATTGTCCGAGAAAGATCAATCTCTATTCCTTCACATTGCATGCTTCTTCAACAATGAAGTCGTTGGTCATGTGATATCTATACTATCTGACAGTAACTTGGATGTTGGAAATGGGTTAAAGCTCCTAGCCGATAAATCTCTCGTGCATATATCTATCGATGGGCGTATAGTGATGCACCACTATCTACTACAAAAACTGGGTCGCCAAATAATTTTCAATTTTGAACGTCAATTTTTAATTGAGGCCGCCGAGATTCGTGATGTACTGACAAACAAAACAGTAAGTTTAAGTTCTTACATATATATTTTCATAGATATTGCGTATTGATTTTTAGTGATAAAAAAATCTCATCAGTCTTCTTTGGCAATATTTGATAGGGTACTGGCTCAGTCATAGGTATATCATTTGATACATCCAAGATCGGAAAAGTTTCTGTAAGTAAGGGTGCTTTTGAAGGAATGTGTAATCTCCAGTTCCTAAGAATCTATAATAGTTTGTTTGGTGGTGAAGGTACTTTGCAAATACCAAAATCTATGAAGTATCTACCCGAGAATCTTAAGTTACTACACTGGGAACATTACCCAAGAAAAAGTCTTCCTCTGAGATTCCAGCCGGAACGTCTCCTGGAACTCCATATGCCACACAGCAATTTCGAGAAGCTCTGGGGAGGAATCCAGGTTTGTATATGATATTCTTTCTTGTGTTTCTAATAGTTCAATCTAAATAAGATATTTCTCATTTGTTGTGTTTAACATGCAGCCCCTTCTTAACCTCAAGAGCATAGATCTTAGCTTTTCCTCTAGATTGAAAGAAATCCCAAATCTTTCAAATGCTACTAATCTCGAGACATTGACACTTGTGGAGTGCTCAAGTTTGGTGGAGCTTCCCTCCTCTATTTCGTATTTACACAAACTGAGTAAGTTGAAGATGAGGGTTTGCGAAAAGCTAAGAGTTATTCCCACCAACATTAACTTAGCATCTCTTGAGGAAGTCGACATGAATTATTGCTCGCAATTGAGTAGTTTTCCAGATATCTCCAGTAACATTAAGACTCTTGGTGTCGGAAATACAAAGATAGAAGATGTCCCTCCATCAGTTGCTGGATGTTGGTCTCGTCTTGACTGCCTTGAGATTGGCAGCAGAAGCCTCAATAGATTAACACATGCCCCACTTAGTATAACTTCGCTAGATCTTAGCAACAGCAATATAAAGAGGATTCCAGATTGCGTCATAAGTCTCCCGCATCTAAAAGAACTTATCGTCGAAAACTGCCCAAAGCTCGTGACAATTCCGGCTCTTCCCCCCTCGCTCAAGTCCCTAAATGCAAACGAATGTGTATCACTCGAGAGAGTATGTTTCTCTTTCCATAACCCAACCAAGATACTCACATTCTACAACTGTTTGAAACTGGATGAAGAAGCAAGAAGAGGAATCATACAACAATCAATTCACGATTACATATGCTTACCAGGCAAAAAAATCCCTGCAGAGTTCACTCACAAAGCTACAGGGAAATCCATAACTATCCCTCTGGCTACGGGTACTCTCTCTGCTTCCTCAAGGTTTAAGGCTTGCTTTCTGATTTCACCAACTATGGGCTACCAAGGATATCTTTATATAAGTTGTAGTCTAAGAAGCAAAGGTGGTGTTACAGATTACAACTGCAATTCAGTACGGCTTTCTGATATGGCTCCTCGGTCAGAACATCTGTTTATATTTGATGACTTGTTTGGCCAACGATACAGATGGCATAAAGTAGATGTGACTATAAGTGAGATTATATTGGAGTTCAGCTCCATAGACAAGATTATTGAGTGTGGTGTACAGATCATGACAGAGGAAGCTGAGGGTAGCAGCAGCAGCGAATTGGACAACTTTGAAACTGAAATTAGCAGAAGCCAAGTGGACAACTATGAAACTGAGAGTAGCAGGCTAGCAGCAGCAGCGAAGTGGACAACTAGGAAACTGAGAGTAGCAGCAGCGAAGGTGGAGATGGTGATGGAGACTATGAAGCAGAAGGTTTCAAGTTCTCTCAAGTTGAAAATATCAAAACCAGTAAACATAGGTTTTAGGATTTGGCTTAGGAAGCTTGGTCTGAAAGAGAAGAAGATGAATACGACAGAGCGGAGTTCTCGTGGAGTCTCATGAGACCAAACCAATTTTGGTACTTTCTTAGCTCCTTCACCATCTTTATAAGGTACTATCTCGTAAATAACAGATGGAGATGGAGATTATGAGCCTCAAGCTGTTCAGCTCCGTAAAGATGAAAACATCATAGGTTGTTGGATTTAGTTTGGGAAGTTTAATCTGGGGTAGAAGAAGAATACAAAACCTGAAACTTAGGTTGTAGACTCGTAGGATTCGGTCAGGAGAAGAAGATAGAACTTCCATTATATTGTTAAATTTTTAGAGAGATTGGAAAATATGATCCTAGATATTACTAGTCTGTTACTTATATATATGTGAAAATATTCATGCTTTTCATCTGTAAAGGCTTGATGGATTACTAATTCTGGACATTAGCCTTAGAAATATCGAGGTTATTCTTTTTGACATGTTCCCCCTCATTCTTGAACTTGGGTATTGTTTCATGCAGTAGCGTATAGAGTGGATCATTTCTAAGCTAGTCCATAAGTTGATGGAATTTGATCAATTTTCAAGTCATGGGTTTTAGTATTATGGATATGGTAACACACTAATAAGCTTTAAAAAATCAAAATCCAATTTACCAATCAAAAAGTAGGATATATGGGTCCTTGATGACTATAAGGAAACCCACTTTTCATGGGGTCCTCAACGACTTTGGGGAACCACTTTTTGCATTTTGCTGTATATATTTCCTTGAAATTTCTTTGTCTTTACGCGTATTGCTTCATATATAGTTTATCCATAGCCACTACCTTCTTCAACCTCTCTTTTAGCCAAACTCTCATGGCTTCTTCTTCGTTTCACATTAGGAGATACCATGTCTTTCCAAGTTTCCACGGTCCAGATGTCCGTAGAGGATTTCTCAGTCATTTACACAATCACTTTACTAGCAAGGGAATCACGACGTTCAAGGATCAGGAGATCGAGAGAGGCCAGGCGATCGGACCTGAGCTCGTACAAGCGATTAGAGAATCGAGAATCTCGGTTGTGGTGCTCTCGAAGAGTTACGGTTCTTCAAGCTGGTGTTTAGATGAATTGGTTGAAATCTTGAGATGCAAAGAAGATCAGGGGCAGATTGTGATGACTATTTTTTACGAAATCGACCCGTCTGATGTACGGAAACAGAGCGGTGATTTCGGAAGAGATTTCAAGAAAACATGTGAAGGGAAGACTGAGGAAGTGAAGCAGAGATGGATCCAAGCTTTGGCACATGTAGCAACCATAGCTGGGGAACACTTACTAAACTGGTACGTTGTTTCTTTTGGAGTCAATGAGTTACAACGTTTTAATCTGTCTTGTTAAATACTTCAATCGTGAAACTTCTGTAATTTAAAACTCACCAATATGATTTTGTTTGCATTTGTTAGGGATAATGAAGCGGCTATGGTCGAAAAGTTTGCCACGGATGTTTCGAACAAACTGAATCTTACATTGTCAAGGGATTTTGACGGCATGGTAGGGATGGAAACACATTTGAGAAAATTGAACTCTTTGTTATGCCTTGAGTGCGATGAAGTGAAGATGGTTGGCATTTGCGGTCCTGCGGGAATTGGTAAAACTACCATTGCTAGAGCTTTGTTTAACCAACTCTCTACCAGTTTTAGATTTATATGTTTTATGGGGAATCTCAAGGGAAACTATAAGAGCATAGTGGGTGTTGATGATTATGATTCAAAGTTGTGTTTGCAAAACCAACTTCTGTCTAAGATTTTGAGCCAAAGGGATATCAGGGTACGTAATTTAGGTGCGATAAAAGAATGGCTAAAAGATCAAAGAGTACTTATCATTCTTGATGATGTAGATGATATAGAGAAACTAGAGGCCTTGGCTAAAGAACCTTCTTGGTTTGGTTCCAGAAGTCGGATTATCGTTACCACAGAAGATAAAAAGATTTTGAAGGCACATTGGGTCGACACGTTTTACCTTGTGGATTTTCCATCCGAGGAAGAAGCTCTTGAGATCTTATGTCTATCTGCTTTCAAATTAACAAAGCACTGTACGAGATGGTTTTATGGAGCTTGCAAATAAAATAGTTGAGTTTTGCGGTTATCTTCCATTAGGCCTTTCTGTTGTGGGTTCATCTTTGCGTGGGGAGAGCAAGCACGAGTGGGAACTTCAGTTATCTAGGATTGGAACAAGTCTTGATAGAAAAATTGAAGACGTACTAAGAGTGGGATATGACAAATTGTCGAAGAAAGATCAATCTCTCTTTCTTCACATTGCATGCTTCTTTAACTGTAAGAAGTTTGATCATGTGACTACCTTGCTAGCTGACAGTAACTTGGATGTAAGTAATGGTTTGAAGACCCTTGTGGAGAAATCTCTGATCTCTATCTGCTGGTGGATAGAGATGCATCGTTTACTTGAACAATTGGGTAGACAAATAGTTATTGAACAGTCTGACGAGCCGGGCAAGCGTCAGTTTTTAGTAGAGGCTGAAGAGATTCGTGATGTACTGGAAAATGAAACAGTAAGTTCTTACATATTATTTTATCTAGAGATTGCCTAATGCTTTAGTGATAAAACGTTTCATTATTCTTCTTTTGCAATATTTGTAGGGTACTGGATCTGTCATAGGTATATCATTTGATATGTCCAAAAATGCCAAGTTATCTATAAGCAAGCGAGCTTTTGAAAGAATGCGTAATCTGAAGTTCTTAAGATTTTATAAGGCTGACTTTGGTCCTGGAAATGTTAATTTGCGTATAGTAGAAGACATAGAGTATCTACCTCGTCTAAGGTTACTAGATTGGTATGCATACCCAGGAAAACGTCTTCCTCCAACATTTCAGCCGGAATATCTCATCGAGCTCCATATGAAATTCAGCAAGCTTGAGAAGCTCTGGGAAGGAATCCAGGTTAGCATTTGATATGTCTAAATTATGTTTTGACTTACTAATATGATATTTCTCATTTGTTTGTGTTTGACAAATGCAGCCCCTTCAAAATCTTAAGGAGATAGATTTGAGTTTTTCCTATAAGTTGAAAGAAATCCCTGATCTTTCGAATGCTTCTAAACTCAAGATATTGACACTTAGTCACTGCACAAGTTTGGTGAAGCTTCCCTCCTCTATTTCCAACCTACACAAACTAAAAAAGCTGAATGTGTCATCGTGCAAAAAGCTAAAAGTAATTCCAACCAACATCAACTTAGCGTCTCTCGAGGAAGTCGACATGAGTTTCTGCTCGCGATTGAGAAGTTTTCCAGATATATCTAGGAACATCAAGAAGCTCAGGGTAGTAAGCACGCAAATAGAAAATGGTTCTCCATCATCATTCAGACGCTTGTCTTGTCTTGAACAGCTTTGTATAAGCGGCAGAAGCTTCGAGAGATTAACACATGTCCCAGAAAGTTTAAAGAAGTTAGACATAAGCCATAGTGGTATAGAGAAGATTCCAGACTGCGTTCTAGGCCTTCAACAGCTACAATATCTTATTGTTGAAAGCTGCACAAAACTTGTGTCACTTACGAGTCTCCCACCTTCGCTTCTGTCCCTAAATGCAAAAAATTGTGTATCACTCGAGAGAGTGTGTTGCTCTTTCCAAGATCCAATCAAGGATCTCAGGTTCTACAACTGTTTGAAACTGGATGAAGAAGCAAGACGAGCAATCATACACCAAAGAGGTGACTGGGATGTATGCTTACCCGGTAAAGAAGTACCTGCGGAGTTCACTCACAAAGCTATAGGAAACTCCATAACCATCCCTCTGGTTGGTGCACGTTCAAGATTTGAGGCTTGCCTCTTGCTTCCGCCAACCAAAGTGAATGCGTATCTTGTTATAACTTGCTGTATAAGAAGCAAAGGCGGTGTCCAGATTAACGAATTTGTATGTGGGCCATGGCCATCACCACAATGGCCTGAATTTGTAACAGAACATCTGTTCATATTTCGCGGTGAATTGTATAAAGAAAAGAGAACCCCTGAAGTGGATGGGACTATGAGCGAGATTCTGTTTGAATTCAGCTGCAATGGAAGCCATCAAGTTATGGAATGCGGTGTGCATATCTTGAGGGATGAAGCTGCGAGTACTAGTGAAGTGGGAAACACCAACGACCACACAGATGGAGCTGGAGACTATGAACCAGAATCTGTTCCGGTCCCTCAAGTTAATAACATCAAAAGCAGTAGAGACACAGATGATTGTTGGGTTTGGCTTAGGAAGCTTGGTCTGAGGAAGAAGAAGAAGAAGAAGTAGTAGACATGAGGACCTTCGTTATGGTTGAAAATTTCTAACAATATATCTGTCACTTGTAATAAATAGTCTTTGGATGGTTTTGTAATAAGAGATTCGAATGTCTAAATAAACACAGGTTGTTTTTTTAGAAAGCAAATAAATGTCTTTTAAGAACCTAAGCTTTTATAAGCTATCAACGGAAGATGCAGGCAGGTACTTTTGTTTACATGAACTTGACTCTTGCCATTATTTTCTCTCATCAGTTTCTTATTGAGGTATGAGATGGTGAACTTAGACGCGATAATGATTCTCCAGAGATCAAAACTAAGTATATACAAGGAGGCCATACGTTCCAATATGTTCTAGGTTCTTGACTTGCCTAGATTGAAAAAGGTCTATAGCATATATAAGCATTGCATCATACTCACACTGTGCCGCATCTTCTTCTTCATTTACTCGAGGCTTATAAAAAAACTTCTCCTGGTTCAAGCCAAAAATGGTCATTTGTATGAGTCTTGTGTTCTTACTTCTTAGTGTCATTTGTATAATGGTTTTCAAGCCAAGGTGCCTTCATACCAAACCTAAACTGGAATTGATTCAAACTTAGCTTAATCTAACCGAACCGGAAATTGAATTGCTATTATACATAGAACAGAACCGAACCGGAAAACTGATTCTCATGAGTCATGACTACAGATTCGGCCCGTTAGTGAAGTTAAGGGCCCAGCCCAATATTAGTCCCTAAATGATCTCCGGTTTAGGATTACAATTGGATTTGGATGATAGGTTTAGATCCCTAATTTGAAAATTTCTGCTTACATTCTTCTTCTTCTTCCTCCCCACTAATCTCCGATCTTCTTATGGATTCAGCTCTGAGCTCATTTCAGCTGCAATCTCTACAAGATCAAGTTCCGATTTACCGAAATAAGAAGCCATTGGTGTTCGAAGAGGGATATATCTTTGAATTTTTCTGTACATTTACAAATTTCTTTACGCGTTTTGCTCACTTGAACTCTTTGTTATGCCTTGAGTGCGATGGAGTGAAGATGATTGGAGTTTGGGGTCCTGTGGGAAAATTGGTAAAACTACAATTGCTAGAGCTCTATATAACCAACTCTCTACTGATTTTGCAATGATTCGAAGTTTTCTTTTCAAAACCAGCTTCTGTCAAAGATTCTGAGCCAAAAGGATATGAAGATACATGTTTTTGAAGGTACCCACATGATGGCTTTGAAGAGCTTACGAAGAAAGTAGCGGTAATCTTCCATTAGGCCTTTGTGTTGTGGGTTTATCTTTGCGTGGGGAGAGCAAACATGAGTGGGAACTTCAATTATCTAGGTCCTAGGATCGAAACTACTCTTGATAGAAAAATTGAGGACGTATTAACAGTGGGTACATATGACTTGACTGTGGTGTACAGATATCGATGGAGGAAGCTGAGGATAGCAGCAACAGCAAAATGGACAACTTTGAAACTGAGAGCAGTAGCAACGGTGTGGACTATTACGAAAGTGGAGGCAACAGCAACCACTACACAGATGGAGATGGAAATAGAGACTACAAAGCAGAAGCTGGTCTCTCACTGCTGCGATTAGAGAATCGAGAGTCTCGATTTTGGTGCTCCCGAAGAAGTACGCTTCTTCCCGCTGGTGCTTAGATGAGTTGGTCGAAATCTTCAAGTGCAAAGAAGGTTTGGGGCTGATAGTGATGACAGTTTTTCAATGGATTTCTATGGCATGGTGCGACTGCAAAGAGCTCACTCTTGAGAGAAATTTGAAGTCTTTGTTATGTAGATGATTGGAATTTTTTTGGGGTCCTGCAGGAATTGGTGCCACTACCATTTTCAATTATAAATGCTTAATGGGGAAACTCCAGGGAAGTTATAAGATCATAGTTGGTGTTGATGTCTATGATTCCAAGTTGTGTTTACAAAGTTCACTCCTGTCAAAGATCTTGAACCTAAGGGACATGGCTACAAGATCAAAGAGTACCTTATCATTCTTGATGATGTAGAGCAGTTAGAGGTAGTTTGCTAAAGAACCTTTTTTGTTTGGTCAGAATGTCTCGTCGAACTTAGTCTGCAAATGAGCAATCCCAGAGAAATTCTGGGAAGGAATCTAGGTTGGTATTTGTTATTTGCGAATATGTTTCTAATGATTTAGCTGAAATCTGATATTTTTTCATTTCTTGTGTTTGACTGATGCAGCCCCTTAAGGAGATAGATTTTGTATCCAGTAAGTTGAAAAAAGTCCAGATCTTTCAAAGGCTACTGATCTAAAAGCATTGAATACTTATGCAATGCGAAAAGATTGATGGTGTCTTGGTGCCAAGGCTAAAATTTGTTCCAACTAATTAGCATCCCTTGAGTCAGTCTACATGAGTCATTTCTCACAACTGAGACCTTTTCCGGATATTTCAAGAAACAGAGATAGAAGAAGTTCCGCCCTCAAGTTTTGGACAATGGTCTCTCCTTGAGTGGCTCTCTATAGACGGAAGTAACGTTAAGAGTTTAACATGTGTCCGGGGATTGTTAGATATCTTTAACTAAGCAATGGTCACATAGAGGATTCCAGATTGCATCAAAGGTCTCCCTCAGCTACAAATTTTATCTGCAAAAAAAAACTTGTGGCACTGTCGAGTCTCTCCCCTTTGTTGCAGTACAAAGTGCAAACAGTTGTGGTTAACTTGAGGGAGTATGTTTCTATTGTCACGATCATATCTGGGAACTCATGTTCCATGATTGTTTGAAACCGAATGAAGAAGCAAGAAGAGTCATCATACAACAAAGGTTTGGCTGGTATGTATGCTTACCTACCTGGTAAAGGCTCACAAAGCTACAGGAAATTCCATAACCATATCGGGGACTTTTTCTGTGTCCTCAAGCTTAAAGGCTCGCTTCCTGCTATTGCCAATCAAGGGCAGTAATGGTCTTGTTGTAACATGTCGTCTAAGAAGCAAAGACTGTGTCCTTCTTAACAAACTTGAGCATTGGGACTTCATGGCGGTTTCCTCAAATTCTAACAGAACATCTGTTTATATTTAGTGGTGACATTGTCTGATCAACAAAACAGATGCCCTGATGAAATTATGTTTGAACTCAACATTCACGCCTATGTTTGACTGCTGCTCGGGGATTTACATTATTATAGAATGGTTCTTGACAGAAGAAGCTGCGAGGAGTAGCAGCAAAGTTGGCTACTATGAAAATGTAGGTAGCAGCAACCACAATAGCATGAAGATGGTGAATATGAACCTGACGCTGTTGAAAGCAATAAGCATAAACGCTCGGTAGCTCTCGGATCTGGTTTGATGAAGAAGAAAAAGAAGATGATTATAAAAGATTTCATGTTGCGTTAGTTTGCTTGTTATGGGGATTATACAGATCCAACGGATTACGGATTTGTATCATTTGTCAAGGAAAAAGAGTCTGTTGCAAGTTGAAAAACAGTCTTGTTTTTTCCTGGAAAATTCAAAACCAATTAAGTTTCTTGAACTCCATGAGTACATGACTACCAACTGAGATATTTGATTTACCTCCTCGGAAAAATGCCAGATTATTGAGTGCTGTGTATCTAGAGGATTTGGAGACAATGATGTTCGAGGAGATTAGTGCTGTGCTAGCAAATAATCGAGTAAGTTGTTACATGTTCTATCTAAACCATGTTCATCGCAGTTTAAGCTGGTCACTTATAAATGTTCAATATCTATTGTTTGTTGTGTTAACAATTGCCTCTTCTTGATATTTGTTAGAGTATTGAATCTGTCTTAGGTAAATCATTTGATATACCAAGTCGAGAAGTTGTGTATAAGTGAGGGTGCTTTTGAAGGAATGTGTAATCTCTGATTCCTAAGAATATTTAGTGGAAAAGCTAAACTGTAGATACCAACTAAAGTAATTGGAATATCTGCCTCGACGTCTAGGTATATATTCTACATTGTGGATATGGAATACTACATTGGGATCAATGCATACCCAATAAAAGATGCAATACAGCGAGCTCCGTGACCGTAACCTCTGGAGAGGAATCCAGGTTAGGTTCTCATTTAAACATTTAAATATCAACGCACTCCAACTATCGTATTGATCAATTTAAATGTGTTACTGAAAAGAAGTCTGATACTGTTTTCTGGTTTGTTGTGTTTGATATTCAGCTGCTGAAATCTCAACAAAGAGATTTGGGCAGTTCCTCGTCTAAAAAAAACACAGCATCGACACATGCAGAAAATTCGTTTGTCACTGCATTGTAGCAACTGAATGGGTTTACCGGTGCGCATCCCTACTTCATATACATAACTACATGAAACTCCTTAACCATTAACCATTAGCATGGCTGGTGAGCTTTCTTTCTCTGTAACCTCCAGTTTTAAGGCTTGCTCATTTCCTTTAAAATCACCAAATGTATATCTCTTGATACAAGTGTAGATTGCGACGAAGAAGAATCAGGAGGTTTGTCGGTAACAAGTAACAACAATAATCAAGGTTATTATTACTTACCTTTCTTTGACAATTAGGATGGTTAGGTGGGCAATAAGAATACTTTTTATGCAGTTGTCAAAATGACAGACATTCTGATTAGTTTTAGTTATATTATAATTAATAGAACCAAGTCAATTGATTCCATAAGTCCGCGATGATTAAGAAAACCCATTTGCAAATTTTTATATATATTAAGCACTAATAATCATTTTATGAATTTCATAGATTGCTTTTCTAAGAAACTACACAAGACAAGAAAAGTCTTTTATTTCATCTTTTCTCTTCATTGATACCTGAAAATACTAATTAGTACGTTATGTTTATTTATTCTTTAAATGTGTAGTCGAGACCACGGCTATGAGGAAGCTTCATATCCAGTGCTTGTCGTCATACAAAGACTAAAAAATCAACCAATCAGCATTCAAAAATCTGTGAAAGTTTCCCCCCGATGTCTTTAGTGTTTATATAAGTAAATTAGAACTCTTTTATCCTCCGAAGAGCGTTTCAAAATCAGTGCAAGTCTGTAAAATATTCTTCAACTTCTCTTTACCATATCTGTCATGGCTTCTTCTTCGACTCATGTTAGAAGATATCATGTCTTCCCGAGCTTCCATGGCCCGGACGTCCGTAGAACATTTCTCAGTCATTTACAGCATCACTTCGCAAGCAAGGGAATCACGGTGTTTAAAGATCAGGAGATCAAAAGAGGCCAGACGATTGGACCGGAACTCAAACAAGCAATAAGAGAATCGAGGGTCTCGATCGTGGTGCTTTCAAAGAAGTATGCTTCTTCGAGCTGGTGTTTGGATGAATTGGTTGAAATATTGAAATGTAGAGAAGCTTGTGGGAAGATAGTGATGACGATTTTTTACGAAATTGATCCGTCCCATGTTCGGAAACAGATTGGGGATTTTGGAAGGGCTTTCCGGGAAACTTGTTTTAGCAAAACTAAGAAGGTGAGGCTGAAATGGAGCAAAGCTTTGACTGATGTCGCAAACATAGCAGGAGAACATTCTCTACGTTGGTATGTAGTTTTTTTTTTTCTCTGTCTCTGAATGAATTATTCTTAAGCAGTGCTTCAATGGTGGTGTCTCTTTAAATTTAGACTTGTTTATTTTGTTAGGGAAGATGAAGCTAAGATGATCGAAAAAATTGCTGCTGATGTTTCAAACAAACTGAATGCTACACCATCAAAGGATTTTGACGGGATGGTGGGAATGGAAGCTCACTTGAGAAAGGTAAACGCTTATTTACGCCTTGAGTGCGATGAAGTGAAAATGATTGGAATTCAGGGTCCTGCGGGTATTGGTAAGACTACAATTGCTAGAGCTTTGTTCAACCAGCTTTCTGCCAATTTTCAACTTAAATGTTTTATAGAGAACCTCAAGGGAAGTTATGGGAGTGATGTTATTGATGACTATGGTTCAAAGCTGTGTTTGCAAAACCAACTTCTTTCCAAGATTTTGAACCAAAAGGATATTAGGATACATCATTTAGGCGCAATAAAAGAATGGCTACAAGACCAAAGAGTCTTTATAGTTCTTGATGATGTAGATGATCTTGAACAGCTAGACACCTTGGCTAAAGAACCATCTTGGTTTTGTTTAGGAAGCCGGATTGTCGTTACCACGAAAGATAGAAAGATATTGAAGGCACATTGGGTAAACGATATCTACCATGTGGGCTATCCACCGGAAGAAGAAGCTCTTGAAATCTTATGTCTATCTGCTTTTCAGAAAAGTTCTCCATGGGATGGTTTTGAAGAGCTTGCAAAGAAAATTACAAATCTTTGCGGTAGTCTTCCCTTAGGCCTTCGTGTTGTGGGTTCATCTTTGCGTGGAGAGAGCTGGCACGAGTGGGAACGTCAAATATCTAAGCTAGAAACTAGTCTTGACAGAAAAATTGAGGATGTATTAAGAGTGGGATATGACAAACTATCGATGAACGATCAGTCTCTATTTCTTTACATTGCTTTCTTCTTCAACAATGAAGCCGTTGATCATGTGACAACTATGCTTGCTGATAGTAACTTGGATTTCAGGAATGGGTTGAAGACCCTAGCTGATAAATCTCTTGTGCATATATCTGCCATTGGGTGGATACAAATGCATCGTTTACTCCAGCAATTGGGGAGACAAGTAGTTCATGAACAGTCAAACGATCCCGGGAAACGTCTGTTTTTAGTAGAGGCCAAAGAGATTCGTGATGTGCTGGAAAAGGAAACAGTAAGTTCTTTCATAGATACAGTTTTCTCTGGAGAACTTGCTCAACAAATTTTTGGTTTTGTGATAACAGTTTCATTAGTCTTGTTTTGGAATATTTGTTAGGGTACTGGATCTGTAGTAGGTATATCATTTGATATGTCCAAGATCAGCGAGTTCTCTATAAGTGGGAGAGCCTTTGAAGGAATGCGTAATCTTCGATTCTTAAGAATCTATGGGAGATATTTTAGCAAAGATGTTACGTTGGGAATATCAGAGGACATGGAATATCTACCTCGTCTAAAGTTACTACATTGGGATTCATACCCAAGAAAACGTCTTCCTCCAACATTTCGACCGGAATGTCTCATCGAGCTACGTATGCAATTCAGCAAGCTCGAGAAGCTGTGGGGAGGAATCCAGGTTGGTATTTGATATTCTGAAATATGTTTTTAATGATTCAACCTAAATATGATATTTCTCATGCAGCCCCTTCCAAATCCCAAGATGATAAATTTAGGATATTCTAAAATGTTAAAAGAAATCCCAAATCTGTCGAAAGCTACTAATCTCGAGGCATTGACACTTACGTCTTGCACAAGTTTGGTGGAGCTTCCTTCCTCTATTTGGAATTTACACAAACTGAAAAAGTTGAGGATGAGCGACTGCAAAAAGCTACGCGTTATTCCAATCAAGATTAACTTAGCATCTTTTGATGAAGTCGACAAGAGTAGTTGCTCACAATTTCGAAGTTCTCCAGGTGTTTCTATGAACATCAAGTATCTCGATGTTGGAAACACAAAAATGGAAGAAGTTCATCCATCAATTGTTGAACGGTTGCCACGTCTTGAGTGGCTTCGTTTAGGCGGCAGAAACGTCAAGAGAATAACACATGTCCCAGAAAGTGTAAGGCATCTAGACCTAAGCAATAGTGGTATAGAGAGTATTCCAGATTGCGTCACAGGTCTTCCCCAACTAGAAAGTCTTTTTGTCTACAAGTGCAGACAACTGGTGTCACTGCAAGGTCTTCCCCCTTCGCTCAAGTACATTAATGCAAGCAATTGTGGATCACTCGAGAGAGTATGTTTCTCTTTCAATGATCTAATCAGGCACCTCATGTTTCGCAATTGTTTTAATCTGGATGAAGGAGCCAGAAGAGTGATCTTACAACAAAGAGGTTACAACAATGTATGGTTACCAGGTAGAGAGGTTCCTGCAGAGTTCACTCACAAAGCTAAAGGAAACTCCATAATAATCCCTGTGGTTCTGGATCGTGCGGGAAATTTCTCAGCTTTCTCAGGATTTAAAGCTTGCCTGGTGCTTCCGCCAACCAAGAAGTATGCATTACTTGTTATAACTTGCCGTATAAGAAGCAAAGCAGGTGTCATCATTACGGAACTTAAGTGGAATTCAGTGAATTATTTTCAGTATCAAACGACACATCTGTTTATATGTGGTGGCAAGTTGGTTCGAGAAACACCTAAAGTGGATGTGACTGCGAGGGAGATCATGTTTGAATTCAGCTGCAGGGATAACCACAAGATTCTTGAGTGCGGTGTACGGATCTTGAGTGAGGAAGAAGAGAGTAGTAGTGGTAACAAAGTGGGCTACTTTGAAACTGGAGGCAGCAGTACTGACCACTACACAGATGGAGAGGAAGGCTATGAACCTAAAGCTGTTCAGGTCTCTCAATATGAAAACATTAATAATACATGTTGTTGGAGTTGGTTTAAGAAGCTTTGGTCTGGAGAAGAAGATGATGATAAAGAAGAAGCAGAAAAGACCTCCATTATGATTCTAAGATGATGTTAGTGTTTGTGTATATATGTGTTTTTCTTTTGCTATTTTTTTTCTGTGATTTTTCCATTAAAATTTCATGATGATGGTGTTTGTGTAAGAATGTTGCTTTCCATCTGGTAATGTAGTTCCTGAAGTTTGATCAAAGGCAACACTAAAAGCTCAAAACTCAAGACATTGCCTGTGTTTCAAGATTTCATAAACTCAAAAGCGTTGTAGATGAACAAGTGCAGCAACTGTGAAACATCCCTTTATTTTTCACACAAAGTTGTCCCAGAAAGGCAGAAGAAGAATCAGATTATCTTGAGAGTAGTTAGCAGCAGCAACCACCACATCAATGGGGATAAAAAAGACTTTGAAACTTAAAAAAGTTCTCTTCCATAAAACTTTTAAAAAAAAGAAGCCACATGCCTACAAACGCTAATTCATAGTTCAAAACACACAACATAAAACATCTAAATCATTCCAAAAACAGAATTTCGTTTCTTCGTTGGATAAGTAAAATATCAAACTCCAGCTTTTACAAACTTTGCAAAGAGAGTTTCTTTCTTGATGTTCAAATGTAGCTCCTCAACATTCAATGCCTTCCACTCATCGATGAACTCTTTAATTGTTTCAGCTCCAAGATTCTTCAGCTTTTGAAACATCAAATTCTTCTGATACTGACTTAAACCTTGAAACGATGCCACCGCCTCAAGTACAACCTTAAGAACACACATATCATCTTCTTCACTCGTCTCCTTGTCATCATTATCAATCTCCAGATTATTGTAACTCACCAGCTCATCCTCCTATAAAAAACAAAGACACTAACATCGTTACGTAAAAAAGTATAAAACATTTACGTAAAAAAGAGAAGAGAACACACTCACAGTTTTTGTCTTGTAAATACTCTCCTCAAAAGCTTGTTCTGTTTCTTTATATGATATTACGATAGTTTGCATTTTGAAAGCTTCTTCTACATGCCGAGGTTTTTTTCTGCGTCGGAATTCAAAACCACCCGAGTAGGAGTCGTCGCTGCTGCAATCATTTCCCTCATAAACCATTTTTGATAAGTTACACCAAAAGAATCAAACTTGGCAACGTTTTAGAAAAGAAAACTAAATTGCCAATATTGAGAGAGAAGAGTGACATGAGTCTCTATTTAAACAAGTCCCAGAGATAGGAAGAGCAAACGTTAGATTGGAAATATGCACTCTACCTTTAATTATTTTTGTGGGCTTCGAGACCTATAAATAATGATGTCTACAATATTTCAAATATTTTTTAAATCAAACGAAGAGGTGAAAATTTAGATTGGGTATAAAATGAATTGGATTGGGTCATATTAGCCCATTAACATTTTTTTATCTCGGCCCAATTTGGGATGCATAAACCCTTAAAAGAAACATGTTATAAAAGTGGCGGCTTTAGTCGAAATTAGGGTTTCGCGTTAAGGAGAAGAAGAGAAAGCTAACACTTCCAAACGCAGTCACCTTCTCTGTCGCCTCCTTCTTCAATCTCATCGCAATCATGGTAACATCTCTAAACCCTAAATCACTCCTTACGTTGTTAATCCAAAACTGATTTCAAAATGCTGCGTATAAATAATCAAACTGTATATAAATCAAATCTTGTTTCTCCAGATCATTTCAGAGAAGAATCGCCGTGAGATCTCCAAGTACCTCTTCAAAGGTACCATTTTGATTTGAGCTTATGAATCTAGTTGTCTTCTACGTTAATGTGTTTAAGCATAGTGATTGATTTGGAATGTTTCAAGAGAAGTGTACTTAGAAATGGTTGTGATTTGGTTATTTTGTGTGCAGAGGGTGTTTTGTTTGCTAAAAAGGATTTCAATTTACCACAACATCCTTTGATTGAGAGTGTTCCAAATCTGCAAGTTATCAAGTTGATGCAGAGTTTCAAATCTAAGGAATATGTGAGAGAGACTTTTGCTTGGATGCATTACTACTGGTTCCTCACAAATGAAGGCATTGACTTTCTCAGGACTTACCTTAATCTCCCTTCTGAGATTGTTCCTGCTACTTTGAAGAAGCAACAGAAGCCTCTTGGTCGACCTTTCGGAGGTGGTGACCGTCCCCGGTAATCAACTTGAATCTTCAATTGTCAATCTTGTGTTATTGTTTCATGTTACTTGTAAGTGTTAATATGAGACGGTTTTGATTTGTTTTATACAGTGGTCCACCTCGTGGTGATGGAGAGAGGAAGTTTGGTGACAGAGATGCATACCGTGGAGGTCCGAGATCAGGTGGAGAGTTTGGTGACAAGAGTGGAGCTCCTGCTGATTACAATCCTGCCTTCAGGGTAAAAAAATCTCTCCTTTCTTGTCATTCTCTGTGAATTGTTGGTACTTTGATACTTATTCCTTGCTTTAAATCATATTGTGAACCCTTTTAGTTGTTATGCATTAGTATCATGCTTAATTTTGAGGAAACTTCTGAAGCCACTATCTCTCAACAACATTTTGTGTTCTTAGGTTCCCTAAATTTTCAAGCCTCTGCCACTAAGTCTTACTTAAAATCATTTTATGAACAGTTTGACTCTTTAGTACCTTGTGTAATTGCATTGCTTTAATCTGTTGTGCACTTGGCTTCCCTAAATGTTCTATTCTCTGCCACTAAGTCTTTCTTTCATGAGTATGGTTTCATGTCCTGCAATTATGTTGGTGAGTAATTAAATGTTTTGGGGTTGTACAGGGAGGAGCTGGTGGAGCTAGGCAAGGGTTTGGTCGTGGAGCCGGTGGTTTTGGTGGTGGTGCTGGTCCAGCTGCTGGATCTGATCTTCCTTGAAAGGGACTTTCTTGTTTCTTTTTGGTCTTATTTAAGGTTACATAGTACCTTTGATTTGAGAACGAATGTGTCTTTTGGAACTTTGTTTCTTTCTCTAAAACCATTTCACAATATGATTGTTTTTTACGTTAGAATTTTATGAAGAAATGTTGGATCGTTACATGAATCTTTTTACACTCTGCCCTCCTTTTTATATTCTCCTATTTAGTTTTTTTTTTTTATTTTTTTTTTGTCAACCACACATTAATTATTAAAAAACTCCTTGATTGGTAACCCAATTCTCCTCCTCCTCCTCCTATTTAGTTTAAAATGTTATGATTTGTTTTCTTAACCTATTTATGATGTATGAAATAAAATCATGAAAAATATTGATATTAACCTATAGTTTTGATGAAATCTTGACGTCACTCTATATAGCGTAAACTTTATTTTGTTTTGTATTCGGAGATTACATAAAAAAATATGAAAGGTTAAGTAAGCTATACTTCTTAAGCAAAAAGAACATGCCTACAATAAGCGGAAAATCCGAAAAAATTAAAGTTGGTGACATTGTTTTTTTACTTGTATATATATAACCTCTTTGAGAATTATAAAATAAGAGAATTGATGAATGTTTAAAGCAAGCAACGTGAGATAGGAGCGACAGTTTAAAGGTGTATAGAAAAAAAGAGAAGAGACTAGATAGTAATACAAATCTCAGAGGCCAAAGCAAGTGACCATGGACTTGCATGCTTCAACACAAACACTAAGCATATATATATAGTTCTTTATTACGTAATATAGGCATCCAAGAGCATACAGACCACTAGTGTAATCACCAAAAGCCTCCCTTCCAATAAAGTATCTCAGATACAACCTCAACTTGTACTCTTGAGCAAATCAATGCTCTTCTAAACTACTCTGTTTCATCCTTTTGCCTCAGTGTAGGTTTCCTGATTTGGACCAAACTTGGAACATAAGAGCACACAGGTGGCCCACAGTATTGGCCTTCAGATACTTCGAGATCCAATTTTCTTAATTTAGCCTCACCGATGGTACTAAGAAATGCCTTGGGAAATTCGCTATCAAGACTCATGAAAATTTTCTTCTCCTCGTCAATGAAGAAAACAATTGGATATATATTAGGTTTCGCATCCATTCTCAAGAACTTGCTCCACGACACCATTTCATCCTCAATCTTAGTTGTAATCCATATATCAATCTCATATTCACATTTGCAGTTTGAGTAGTATTGCTGAAATAAAGCTGCAAGCTTCTCTTCTTTAACACAAGATAAAGTCACATATGGATATCCACGATCCGTAGCGCCAAACGGCAAAGGTAGAAGCGGCCCGAAACTCTCTCTTGTAAAATCAAAACAGATTATGTGATCGAAGAGACCTCGTGAGCTCCTTTCTTTCGCAGGCCAGTAAGTGTTTCCCTTAAGAGAAACGCCGCCATAGCTAGACCAAGATATCCACCAGTGTGGAGTGACATCAAGAGTTGTCCATAAACTAGAGTCAAAATCGTAGATTTCATACTCAGGTGCGTTGGATGAAGAATCTAAAAACCTCAAGAATTTAACGCTACGACAAGATTCTTTATCTGCGTATCCAAGAGCATACCTGAAACAGTCCCATCCGATTGAAAGGTGAGAAAATCTGATTTGGATCCACCTTGCTTGCCGCAAATACGGATTCAAAACCACAACCCTAGTAGGGTCTTCAAAGATGCATAACAACAAACCCTCATAGTGGAAGACTCGATATATACTAACTTGATTATCAAGCAAACTAAGCTGACCTTTAAGCTCTACAGATGGATCAACGTCGTCCAAGGCGACGCTCATTAAATAAAGATCGTGCGGCATCATCGAGATCATCATAGTCTTCTCTTCTCTTGTTGCTGCTTTATCAATATGCATCTTCGTAAAGATCTCACTATTGGATAAATTGTTCCAACTTTTGCAAGTTAATCTCACTGCTTTCATAGATCTCAAAGGAACCCTAGAAATAATCTCTTCTATCAACTCTCTTGGAAGACTGGAGATCATCGATGTCATTGTTTCAAATCGCAAAAAATGTTTTTTTTTTCTTTTCTCACTTTAAAATCCCTATTTTCCTTTTCCTCTGATTTCTTGCCGTGAAGGAAAAGTATATATAACAATTGAAGAAGATACAAAACCCTAAACGAAGATGGGCCAATCGTGGGCCTCAGAGTCTACTCGGGTTTCAGAAACCACATATTGGTTTGATGAGATGTGATGAAATGTGACAGAATAGTACTTGCAAGCAGACAAGTTCTTCGATGAGCTGCTCTGGTTAGGTTTGGCTCCTCATGTACATTTTATATCTCTTTATTTTTCAATTCACTCATCGGTTTCTTTAAAACTTAATCAAATTGTGTGTTTGGTTTCGATGGGCATCACAAGAGAACATGACTTGAACTCAAGCTTGACTCAAGCCTAACATGAGAACATAAGTAAAGCCAAATACTACAATTTACTACCATCCAATTATACGAATTCTAACTAGCCCTAAAATATTTATAAGGTTTTTCTACAAAAAAAAAAAAAACAAAATTATTCTTTCATCGCGAACTTGTTATATTTATTTATTTTAAAAAATAATTTATGTGTTTTTTATTTTTTAGGGTAAAAATATTATTTAAAAAAAGAGTTGGAACAAGGGAGGGATCAGATGGTATAAAAATTGGAGCGCCCAATTAGTCGTAACAGGCTTTGAGCGGAACGCTCATCACGCATTAAAAGCGAGATTAAACCCATTCCTCATTTCCCCTTTAACTTGCCTGAAGGATCATACTTTCTAACTAGACCACCTCTTCTCCTTATATAGTAAGCCCACGAGCCTCTCACTATTCTACACAACCGATGTGGGACAAAAACAGCAACTAATAATCTCACCTACTTGTTTGTTTGCTTTATTTGAAAGTCTCTGCCTCGCTCAGAAGGTTTCAACTAGTACCACTCTCCCATCAAATGTCATGAAGATCCAAAAAGATTTCTCTGTTTTTTATTTTGGTTTAATAATACGTAAACTCAGTTTGTACGAAGATAAAATAGATAATCACAAGTAGTATAAGGAAAAAGAAGAAAGAAGCTCATTTAATGTTGAAGAGAAGCTAAGACTGAAGATACAATGTGAAGTGAACCCGTGACTATAACCATTCCTGAGTCGCTACTTGTTGTGTCATCGCTGAGAATCTTATAGGCAAGCTTTAAGGAATCCAACACAGTTTTGTTTTCTGAAGCTTCCATAGACCCTGACCCCAATTCATCAGCAGCTTTTATCCATGATTCTTTCAACACTGAAGACGACGTTGATCTAATCTTACATCCACCAATGTCAGCTTCGGTTAGAATCACAGCT